AGGAAAATCCCCCCCCCCCCCCGGCAAAGGAATAACAAGTTTCATTTTTAAACATTGCAAAAAAAATTATATTAATTTGTAATCTTTTCTTACTATCTGTACCTGTTTTTAAGGGACTGGATAATATTTCTCAGTTTGAAATTTGTGAGAGAGAATTAATTTCAAAAATTCCTGATGGTAAGCTTTGACTTTGAAAAGTCGAAGAAATTTGAAGTCAAATTGGACCCTTATTTGTTTTCCCAAATTGAAAATTCAAACGCGTGGCGAATTGACGTCACCGGAAAAAGGCCAGTGGAGTGGTCAAAGGAAAATTTTCATCAATTATTCTGTTTACAGAATAATGGTTCACACAGAATAATGGTTCACAAGAAAATTCCAGATAAATGTTACCAAAAAAAATATCCACCCGCATATCCATCCTTCTTGTGTGTAATCTGTAAACCCCTATGAAGGCACCCTGTACTCCAAGTGTTATTCAAATTTCATAGGTAGTATTTGTAATGTAATGTCACATTCAAATGGGTATATGTCTATCTTTGGTAACCATTAAAAAGATTTATTTATTTTTTTTGGAAGAAAATGAATTTTGAAATAACGATTTTTTGGAAAAATATGTGGTTGAAAAGTAAGAAAAAATTTTGAGTTTACTTGAAAAATATTTTACTGTGTGAATATATGATTAAAAATGAGTTCGAGAAAAAAAAGAGTTGAAAAAATGGATGACAAGCAGGGGCTAAATATAGGCAACAATAAGCCCTGTTTGGGCTCCGTTAAAATGATATTGGGGAAAATGTGTTTCAAAATAGTGAATTTTTTAGATAATGTGCAGTTAAAATGCTTGTTTGGTAGGAATGTTAAACCAATTAAAATCAATTTTTAACCGTTATTTTACTATTTCAACCGTTATTTTTGAATTCTTTTCTTATATGCCGAATCAACTTTATTTCTAGCGATCAAAAAATCAATTAACAAAATCCCACCAAATAAGCTCAAAAAAATGTTTTAAATTTATGTAAAACAATAAAAAAGAATGTGGTTGAAATTTTCAAAATTGGAACATAAATTAGAGGCTAAACTGTTAGTGAGAGTGACATCACATGCACCTATGCAAGTACCTATCCTAATAGGCAGCAGCAAGTTTGCTGCATTGTATAATGAGGGATAAGATTTGTTCTTCTTTCTCTTTTTCTAATATCATATCTAACGCTACACCAAAATTTATATCAAATCTTTTATCAAATTAAAATTGATATGCATTACACCAAATGAAGAGTATTTAACTATTTTCTTTTCTTTTTTTATTATTAGTAATTTATTTATTTGAAATATTACTTATTTAATTATTTTATAAATACATAAATTACTAAATAAATAATTACGTTAAATTATGAAAAAGATTAAATTTATTAATAAATATATAAAATATAGTACAATTAATAAAAACACTACAACAACAAAAATATTAAATCACGTCATTAAAAAATAGTGCAATGCATTTCGAATTTGAATATTACGACATTCCAGATTATTAAACTATGTACTTTTATGTATCGTTTTCTTTAAATAAAATTATATTATCGTATGTATGTCGTCATTTAATGTATTTCGTATTAAATTTAAGAAATAATCATATTTTTTAATTTTTTCTTTTAATTAATTCATTAATTTTTTTTTTTTACATTTAAAATTTATTTTAAATGCAAATAATAATAATAATTTATTGTATTTAAAAATATATAGCACAAATGACACAAATACCCTTAATCAATATATTTGGAAAAGGATAATAAAGGGTAAAAAAGACTTCATACAAAGTATAGTGTTGCATTGGAGTTCTTTTGCACCAAAAAATGGTGCATTTTGGTGTTTTGGGTCTCGCATTTGACGTGGCCTAATACTATCAATTTTTGTCTAATCCATTTCCTTAACATGCAATGCCATACATTTTTGAAGTGGGGAAAGGGTTGATGTAGGGGAGCTAATGCCTTTTATAAGGGCTTATCGAGAAATGCATGAATGGTAATGTTGTCTGGGGATACACTTTTATCTTTAGAAAGAAGTTGTTTTCTGAAGATATACTTTTTGATGCTTGAACTCGGAGAAACTTTAGCAGCGATATGGTCAAGAAGATGCAAAAGGCAGCAAAGAAGGTTCGTTTCCCCGAGTTTGGTGAAGGTAATACGAGAAAGAATGGAACCATTCTTGAACGTCGTATACAAAATTAAGCCTCTCAAAAAAATCTTTTGGGATAACGTGGTTTTAGTTGGAGATGCAGCTCACCTTATGATTCCTCGTAATTTTAGAAGTACAAACATGTTGATATTAGATGCTGTAGTCTTAGGCAAATGCCTAAACAAGTGGGGAATGGGGAGTCAAAATTTTGCTCTTCAAGAATGTCAAAACTAATCGGGCGGCTACCAGTCGTTTCAGAGCAAGTTCTATTTTTGGGATGACTAGCTATGAGGTATAAAACAGGGTTTCATCCTTTCTGATTGCAATCAGTTTGATCCAAGGACAGGTAGTGAAGGATTGCTAAGAGTCGATTCATAAAAACATGCCATTTTTTTTTTCTCTCCCACACATTCCTCCCATATTGAATTAAAATTGCACTGTTGGCAAATCATACTATCTAAAGTGTAAAACTTGGATCATTATTTGATACTTTGTGGGCCTTTTCAGCATACAATGATAAATTGACTTTGTATAACCAACTTGGTTACTAATTGTTGATATTGTACAGAATAATGTTATTTATAATCAACGACTATAATAGCCAGTCTACTTGAAATAACTTTTAATTATACTATGCTACGTAAGATGCCACGTAAGATGACTACTACAATCACTGACTATCATGAATAGCACTACTCTACGGTATATGCACATATATTCTTTTTAGAGTGGTGTGTGGATATTCAACATGTATTGAGCATTAAAGAGGTATGGGTTTACCATGAAATTTGTTAGAAAAATGGGTTGAGTGAGCTCTCGATTGATTGAGTCTAGTCAAAAAACAAACGAGACTTTAGTGCTGACTTTAGCATAAAATTTGAGTGGAATCCGGTTGGCTATTTTAAAAGTTCAAGATTGATTTGTATTCTTCTCTGTAAGAACATTGAAATAATATATTTATTTGCTAAAAATGATGTTCGGGTAAAGGAGAAATTGAAGCTCAAAGTGTGCCAATTGAAAGGAGTTTATGTGTGGGAGGAAAATAAATTAAAGTTTGTCTCACATAGGTAAATAATGAAGGCAAATACCATATTATGTAGGATTGCACTTTGGAATGATGTGATCATATGTAATATAAAGACTCTCTCTACATGCATACGCAAGGGATAATTAGGATCGAAATAGGCTTCGGACATTGAAATATTGCCCCTTAGGAGAGCTTACGTTTTGTCAAATTTTCCTTCAACTGACCTTTTAAATTTTAAAACTGTCAAAACTCTAATATTCATTATCATTATAATACCAATTAATGGTGTTCGTGGGGGTTAAGCCTTTATATGCAACCCATTTTCTACTATTCCACACAAGAACAGGAAAGAAAAATCCAGTTTTTGCATAAACAATTTCTGCATAATTACATATATAGTTCCTTGTCCTCACCATTTTTTTTTTTTTATATTGTTTTGACACAAGTTCTATTAGCCTAAGTAGTATTTGAGGTGCTCAAATTCTACAGTTCCTTCATTGTATTTTGGGAGACAAACGTCCGAATTAAACCTCAAGCATCTATGGTAAGGGGGCAAATTTGTTTTAAGGAACTTCTGTTCACAAATGCTTTAGTTCAATTTTTTATTTTTTTTATTACTTGCTTTCGACTAATTAGATTAACTCGTTCTGTTTTATTGTGATTTAATTTGCTATATTTTAGCTAATTAGATTAACTTGTTCTGTTTTATAGTAATTTAATCTGTTATATATTTTGGCAAATATTCGGTAAGTTCACGGAAAATTCGGTATCTAAGTTCATTGCATATACGGTATGTACAAAATCGGTATGTGCAAATCCGGTATCTAAGTTTACTGCATATACGGTAAGTTACATTTACGATATGCGTCAATCCAGTAAGTTGCATATACTGTATGTGTCAATCCAATAAATTGTAAATTCGATATATGTCCATCTAATATTTGTTAATTCGGTATTCATTCACTAATATGTAGTCCAAAAAAATTTTAGTATTCAACACATATCGACCTTTTAAGAGACGTGTCTAGACTCGAATATCTTCTATTCAACACGTATTGGAGGCTTAGACACGCGGCTGAGAGGCCATGCGGTGTATTAAAGACTGCCACCAAGAATATTGGCTTTTCTGGAAATTTTTACACATTATTCATTTAAATCAACGAGCGTTCAATAATATATTTCCATTCATTTCACTCTCTCGTTGCACCAGGGAATGATCTGAAGCACTTAACATAGACAATTGAACAAGTTTAGCACTTTCTCTTGTTTCCTGGTTTCATCTATTAACTAAACACACTAGCTTATAAGCATAAACTCTACTAACTGTCAAATAGTCATGAAATTTTCATTCTCCAGCAAATATGGGTTTGTTTTCCCCTTTCCCATAAATCAAGCTCTACAAATAGCACATTCATCTATTTCACAGGCCTAACTTGTTTAACTAAGAACATTCAAGATTTTCTTCGATGGCTGAAGTTTCGTTCATCTGTAAACGAACTGTGATCAGCACGAAACCCGTGCAGCCCGCGAAATTCTGCCCTCTATCAGTTCTCGATCGTGTTATGGAACGCAATTACCTTCACATTGTTCTCTACTACCAGTCTCCGGTGGAGCAGAGTCCCGGAGAGCTTACTAAGAAACTAAGAGAGGCAAATGCTGAAATGCTTTCTTCTTTTCCTATAATTACAGGACGATTATTGAAGACTCCAGAAGGCCACTGGACGATCAAGTGCAATGATGCCGGGATGAGAATGGTGGAGGCAAGGGCGAAAGGCAGTGTCGAGGAGTGGCTGCAGAATTTGGATAGGGAAAAGGAGCTTCAACTTGTTCACTGGGAGGAAATGTTCCACAAACCGTACTTCTGGTCGACGTTTTATGTTAAGGTAATGATACAGTTACAGAATTGAAACGAATATCTCAAGCTGCATGTAAACTTGAATGAGAGTAGAGAACTAGGACGACCAAATAAAAAAATAATTCATACTGTAATCGAAAGATAAGTGAGAAGTATAATTAGGATCCACCCAGATCCAACAAAAATGATAAGTAGTCTAATATTGTGTAGGTTATTGCACTTAAAATTTATCTAAATTTTGCATATTCTTGAGTAATTCCATTCATTTTCCTTCCTTATATGCAGGTTACTGAATTTGAAGAAGGTGGAATAGCAATTGGATTGAGCTGCACTCACCTGCTTTCAGATCCTCCCTGCGCCACTATGCTTATGAAAGCATGGGCAGACATGACTTTAGGTGGTAAAATGATCAGTCCACCTTTGTTTCACCCGTTGCCCGGACGAAGACCGGGAAACACGAAAACCAACCACGATCCTTACGTGGAATTGGTCGATCACTACAAGTCGTATATAGATATGCCAGCTCCAGTTTTTGACACGAAACAAGCAACTGTAACACTAAGATTCGAAGATGAATTCGTTAGAAGGTGCATTACCGGAATTTCATCCGAAGAGTCGAGCCGGACACCATTTGAGGCTCTGGCAGCACTATTTTGGGTTGTTGTTAGCAAGGTAAAGGGTACGAAAGGCGGTCTAACTAACATGTCGATATGTTTAGACATGAGAAAAGTGCTAGGCCTCGACCGAGGCTTTTTTGGAAACTGTATGGTCTACAACAAGGTGAATGGAGATGGTATAGAAGGCCATGAATTATGTGAGGCTGCAAATGCTATAAAGGAAGTTGTTAAGAAAATGGATGCTGATGGTATTATGGACTTGATCGAGTGGTTGGAAGCGAGGAATTGCCAGAATCCACCTTGGATGAACGGTTATGATCTCATTTGTGTCAATTTAGAGGACGTGGACTCGTATTCTGCTCTTTTCGAAGACAATGCTCGGCCACTTCGTGCCTCATATTACATCGAGCCCCCTGTCGGAGAAGGGCAGATACTGATCCTGCCACTACCGGCAGGCGCCAGGGATACATTCAGCCGAGTGGTTATGATCACACTACCGGAAAATGAAGTAAAGAAGCTTCTTGAAGACGCATTAATCCAGGAGCTTTCCCCAACCATTTTGATGGGGTTGAAGAAAATGCCTTCTTGATAAGTACCAACAGAAGTTTATGAAATAAAATTGTTCTCATCTTATGCGTACTTTAACATATTGAAATTCAACCCATCTTTTCATTTAGTGGAAAAAATGGGTTAATAAGAAAATTAGAACATAAAATCTAGTGTTGATCGATAATATGATCTTATGACATAGTTGATACGTTTCAACAAAAACTTGTTCGAGTGAATTCCCGCAAGCGCACGGGTTCGTTGACAAGTAATAATTGTGATGAGTAAAGTATCTTCCCATAGGGAATAAGGATTAATTCTAGGATATTTGATAAATTTGAATTCGTGTTTGTGAGTAAAACTATCGAATGAATAGTTAACGGATTTTTAAAACTAAAATTTATAAAAGTAATGGAGGTTGATTTAAAACTCGAATATGCGAATGTATTGGATTTCAGACGCCATTGAGTAACGCTTAGTTCTAATTCTCAACTAGTGTTAATTATCTCAATTTATGCAATTGCGACGATCGATAATTCCACAATTATTTATTATTCTTTTCCAAGATATAATAAACCTATGTTTACCACGAGACGATCCTATTCCTAGTTCGAATTCATATGGCGAACATGCATTGACATTTAGGATTATTATATAAGATCGCACACGCCACAAATATTATTCCTAATATTTATTGCCCATGTGTCCCAATAATAGTGTTCTACCTATCATAAGTTTTCCAACATTACGAAAAAGCAACTTATTATCCTAATGGTGCGCAAACATTAGAACAATCTAATTATGCATATTATTGAAATCACAACGCAATAATTAATATAAAAAAACATAGGTCTCGAATTAAAACTAAAAATTAAACAATTTTGTCATCATCCAATACGTGAAAAAGAATTAGCCAAACATGATGCGAGAATTAAATAAATAAAAGTGGAACGACATCACCAAAATTTGATGAAACGTGATTAATATCCAAATTAAAGTTGTCGTCTTTTTCCCAATAATCAGCCGTGAGTTGTCTTCTGCCATTCACTTTTTAGCTCCAAATGGCAAGCCATGCAATTCCAGCAGCCCTTTTATTTGTTGATTAATCTGTGAGATTGTGGGTGTGGAACATATATAAAATATGGTAGCTTCCAACTTGTTTGTATGTGAAAATCCGCCTAATTTCTGCTATGTTTCCCTCAACAATTTCCCAAGCAGCTGGTGGCCCTTTTTAATGTGTTTATATATATTTAATGGCAGAATCTCTCCTCCCAAATATACTGACCGGATTTCCCAGGCTGCTGGCAGCTTCCTTGACTTTCGTGTCGGCAATTGTTTTAATTCCCTCGGCTCCCAAGATTCCTTCTTACTCCAAATTCAGCCCCCCAATTTTGGTGTGCTCCTGTATCTCTTCCCTCCAAGTTGGCGTGCAGTCTATTCCCCAAAAATCTGCCTCTGTTTGTATATAATCTCAAAGTAAGCAGCCGGCAGTTTTCTTTCTCCTTTTCCTCCCTTCCAGCCGTCTCTCTTCTCTAGGTTTTTCTTCTTTTTTCTTTCTCTCCGCCGGCCGTTCTGGTTTTTCCCTCCCATGAAAACTGATCTGCATGGTTTTTAATAGTAAAACCTAGGAAAATTCTCAGCTTTGGTCCCTGAAGTTTAAAGAAGCATTTAAAATGACCCCCAATAATTAAAATGGCCCACAAGCGCCCAATTCACTGTAAGTGGCCGCCAATTAAATGGATTTTGTGTCATTTGCAGCCAAGTCCCTCAATAATTGCATCTCAAATCCTCTACTTTTTGACTTGCATGCCTTGGCCTCCAACTTCCATCAATGGCCAATTTAATCCCCGTGTTTTGGATTTTGTCACTTTTCGCCAATTTTTGCTTCTTTCCTTTCCTTCTTCGTCCAAGCATGAGTTTTACCTAAGAAAATTAATACAATAAAATTTAGATCATATTTTGCCAAAAGAATAATAAAATTATATAGCTTAGAGCCCCGAATAAATGAAGAAAATACACTTATCATTGATCGATAATATGATCTTATGACATAGTTGATACGTTTCAACAAACATAGTAAAAGGGAAAAATAAAGGGGCGGACCTAGCCGTTTTGGGTTGTGGGGTCAAAAATTAGAGTTGTGCTACAGTGTCCACATGAATAATCGCGGGGTTGACACAATACACACAATAAGGTAGGGATTATTTTATTCATGGGGGCCCCGGTAGGCATGTGAGGGCGTGGTCACTTGCAAGGTCATCCTCGCGGGTTGTGCTTAACTCCAAAAATTAATGTGTAATTTTTTAAAACAATATAATATTTATAAAAATAAGTAAATACGTATTTTGACATCTTGAAAGTGTCTTATAATTCTATCATTATCAATATTGTTAAATGAATTTTGTTACATGTATAGTTTTGTTTACCATGTCATTTATGGATGTTAAGCTGACGACGAATAAATCAAATTGAATGTAAAAAGTAAATGAAATTTAAGTTTAACGAAAAAATAATTTGAAAGTAATTCAAATTACATTTAATCCGTAATGATTTTAGAATTTTTGACATCATATTTAATGTAAAATTTCCTAATAAAATGATGTAAATTATATTGAAAAATTTATCGTGAAAAAATAATAAACGTTAATAAAATAATTGATTTTTTTTTAAAGACGAGTAAAATGCCTCTTTTAATACGTACGTTTGACTCATATTTAACTATTTTCAATATATGTTTGAACCATTCGATATAACTACGATATAATTTTCGTAACGAACTTCTAGATGATGCAAGCGATTTGTAGATTTGGATAATATATGATCATTATCAAAATTTTCAAAATACTAATTTGGAACGGCCTACTTTGATGCATCGTAACTTTTGCTATGATTGATCAATTTGCACACACCATTAAGAAATGAAAAATTAGGCCATGAGCGTTTAGAAATGATATTAAAAATGCAATATTTTGATTTCATTTGGTATGTATTAAAGTTGGTCGAAAACGGGTTAAAACAACCATTTTCTATAAAATAAAATTAAAAAAAAAAAACCCAAAATTTTGTGGGGTCATTTGACCCCATGTGGGTCCGACGCTGGAAAAATACATCAATATATGTTTATGTGACAATCGTATCAAACATGTCTTTAAATGTATATCTCTATCTTACTTAGGTATATTTGTATCTTTGATGAAATTTATTCACAAAATGAGGAAACATTCAAAAATTGCAGATGTACCACAACAAAGCTAGTAGATTAGTTGCAACTTTAACTAGAAAGGGATTATTTAACCATAAAGAATTCGATTCAGATGTAGGAAACCTATTCAAAAGTTTCGCAACTCAACCATAGATGATGGAATCATAAAAGATTTGACCTTTTTGAATTGTTTGTAACTCTCCTATTTATTATCTTAATATATCCAAAAAAAAAAATGTACAATCTAATGAGGTTACTATGAACAAACAATCTAAAATTTCCTAGTACTAATTAGTTCTGATCACTGTAATAAACATATTATGAAAGCATTTACGAATATTGCAAATAATATATTATACTTTCACTATTTCAAAATAAAAGCATCACCACTTGCAATTGTTGGGCATTTTGGCAAGTGATGCCTAAATTTCCTAGACAATGATGAAAAATCGAGGCCCGATTATTTTCATAGGCTATAAGCCCGGGATTGAAGAATATTAAATCCACACCACAATTGATAGTAGTCCAATTATGTTTGGTATTTAGAGGAAATCAACACATTGAGCTAGGTGCTCAATACTCAACTTTGGAGGTAATTTGAAAAGCACATGAAAGCTAGATAAGGATAATCCTTATCTTTGATAAGCATTTTTCAGTTTTGATTGAACTCTATCTTTCAGTTTTGATTGAACTCAATCTTGCAAAATTCTGGGAAAATCCGTTTCCCTTTGAGCCTATAAATTGGAAACCCTTTGCTTCTTTTTTCACACACCAAAAGAAGGGCTTTTCTTTGTGCATTTTCAAATTCCATCTTCTGCCTTAGTGTGCATCTGTCTATGTGACTCAAAAAGCCTTCAAATTGGAGATACCTTTGTGGTGTTGGATCGATTTCTGAGCCAATTGAAGAAGGGGAAAACATCGTTCTTTAATTTTCAGTTTTTCATTTATTTGCAAAATCTATTCACTAACTTAGTTGATTTGTTCAATTGGTAGGTGGATTTCATCAACGGCAATAATAAATAATGAAGAGCCTTCTATATCAAGTTGCAAATAATCAATGTCTTTCTTCCAAGTTATGTCTACTTAATGCTAAGTAGGTTAACAAGATTCATGCAAAGATCACATGCCTATAGTGAAGTCAAAGTTCAAATTAGATAGAATGTCACAGAGAAAAAATTTAGAAAAAATCTGAAGTGGAAAAAAGAAACCTAAAAATGGTATGAGAGCCGCATATGTTACAGTTGGACAATACATCCTATATCAACTCAACATCAAATGAGAACGATAAGTAGAGATTAAGCAACTGAAGGAAATTACAAAGAGGGGAAAAAAAAAAAAAAAACCTTCATGTCCATCTTACTCTTCTAGGCTATCCAAGAAGCTTTGTAACTCCTTCAAACCTTCAGCAGAAATGCTCCTGTGTACGCGTCCATGAGGAGCAACCAAATTCGGAGGCGGTTGTTGTTGAAAACACACTACGACCACAGCTAAATTGTCTCCACTCTTTCTCTTCAAAGCCTCATTAACGAGATCCTCCCTACACTTCAGTGGATCGTTGTGTTCTTGTAATATTCAGCGCGCAAAGTCAACAGCATTTTCACTCATGAAAACGTCCTAAATACCATCACAGAGTATGATGAGGAACTCATCTTCTGCTGATAGCTTAGTGCTCATGAATTCAGGTTCTGCACCAAGTGGTCCACCATCCATGCGTTTCAATCCATCCATGTGCCAATCTCCTAAAGCATGAGCAATATTCAGCTGTCCAATGTCCATTGAGATATCCATCGCAAAACTTATCCTCCTCATGCTTCTATACGCCTTCTTTCTTTCAAACAAACAGGTTTGTGATCCCTTGACATCTCAATTGCTTTATCATGACGACATAGTACTGCTCTGCAATCTCCAGCAATTGCCACCACTAATGAGCTGTCTCGAGCTAAATTACCAAACTTAAAGAAGTCAGGAACATTCTAAAGGGAAATAGACTCTTCAAAAGCCATAACTCAAATCCCTTTTTTTTTCTTTTTTTTCTTTTTTTTTGGGTGGTGGGGGAGATTAAAGGCAACGAATTCTTGAACTGTAATTGTCAAGTATAGCAACTTGATGTCGAGTTTTACTGTCTAAAGACAAGATTCAGATGAACTTGTCTTTCAGTAAGCATGCTAGTCTTAAAAATTCTGTTAGAACTATATTCAAACAACTTTTAACAAAGTTCTGATTAATTATGTAACATTATTTTCCTAAAATAATGTTATTTAGCACCACTAGTGTTACAATACCGATCTAAATGGCACTAAGTGTCATTAAATATGAGTAACAACGCAATGATTCATATGATTCCACCTTTTATTGAGCCCATGTAGGTAACATCCAGATTGGTGTTCTAGAACCACTGATATTAAATAGCATTATTTAGTTTTCAAACCTATGATGTTCGGACTTGGGTACGGATACGTATTTAAGTGTCAGATCTTTTACTTGATTCAAACGTTGGATTAAGGTTTAGATTACTCCTGCAAACTATTTGCATTTGAAATTCTATAAGCACTTATTCTGATGGCGACAAATATCGTTTGAGGATAGCGATTCATAATCGTGTTCAAACCTTCCATTTGGTAGACTATTATTGTTACTGATTTTCTTTGTTCTTCATCAAAGTTTGATCAACAAGGGCTTAATTAGAAATTAAAGAGTATTATTTATTAATACCAACAAAAGGTGCTTAATTGTATTCCTATCAACAATGCAAGTGGCAGAAGCTATGGACTTTTACACTGATTGCCAAGATGCTTACCGACTAAATTATTCAGATGAAAGTTTCTTATCAATTCTCCGGCAAAATTTTTAATTATTTATAAATATTCAATCTTCATTTTTAATAACATATTTTAATTAATCTACGAGCAGTATCTAATTATTCAATAAGTAAAGCCCGTTCAGCAAGGATGTGTTTAGATAATTTTCTGAATCGTATTTCACGGATTGTTTCTACTTAAAATTAATAGAACGATTTCAATACTGTTCACCAAAACCAATTATACAAGTGTCTTGTACAATGAGATTAAAAACCATTGAAAGTGTTTTTTTTTTTTTTTAACTAGAAGAATTTTTAAAGAAAATTGACTTAAGATAACCTTCTTATGAAATTCTTTTACAAGAAATAAAAACAAAAATAGAAATCACGTCAAACAAATTTTGTTTATAAAAATTTCCGTTATAGATGAATAAATTTATCATCAATATTTTATGTGGACTCTGTCTGTGTAGCACAGACAAGAGAGTCAAACTCGTACCAATCTTGTTTTTGTCGTCAACGCGGTTAAACTATTTCCTAGCGATGCAGATACAGCCTTAACGCGTTGTTAGAAACGGAAATGAAAACTCTTGTCGATTCAGTTTCCCCTCCATTGTTTTTTCAAACTGCAGAACAGACAAGATATTCAAAATCTTGCCAAAGCAATAGACAGACTTCACGTAGAAAATGCGTTGTGGGAAAAGTCGAGAAAACATTTTCCACAATAACAGAGGTAAAATATTGGTAGGTAGGAAAAGAAAAAAATGTTCGGTGTTTGATCTCTGATATTTTTGCACAGAGTAATGTCTCAGGAGAAAGACCATTATCCTTGCGTTTCCACGGCCAGCGGGTATGTTTTCTGTGCCTTATATTTTTTATTTGAATAAGTATTTTGCATAAATGAATCCATATTGTTGAGCAAAAGTTCCTCATCAATCGTAATTACCAATGAATTTTATGGTAAAAGATTGCTGTAAAAATTTACTGATGATCAAATTTAAGTATGGTGGTCAATAAGGCTTTGATAGTTAGTGTAGTGTTTCATTTAACTTGCCTCTCCTGCGACATTGAATAGCGAAATCAAATGTTACTTGTTATCTGTTGGAGGAAAAATAGGTTTACTAACTTGGATTGGCTAAAACTTGATAGAGGACAACACTAATAGGAAAAAGGAAGTGAAAAAAGGAAACTTTTATTTCTCAAATTCAAGACTTTACACATTTTTTTGACTTGTTGCAAAACGGAGGACACTATCCCTTTATATAGTGCTTACAAGAAGATTCTAGTCCACACATTTTCTAGAGACACCTAGACCACACATTAAGATATTTTCCTAGAATTCTCTAGATATTCTTTACATATCTTACTTAGATATTTATATAAATTTTTCTAAATAATGCTTCTAGAAATGCTAGGCATGTTGTGCCTAGACCACACATCAAGCCTTTTAATTGATTTGTGCCTATAAGCAAAATCGTTAAATCTATATTATTTAGTCTAAAAGTCAAGTTTACTACTCAACATCCTCCCTTAAACTTGATTTTGCTACTCCAAGTAGAGTTCTTAACTTGCGGAACACATCATGCTTGAGTGGCTTAGTGAGAATGTCGGCAATGTGCTCTTGGGAGGTTACATATTTCAGCTGCACTTCTTTCTTTGCAATGCTTTCTCTTATGAAATGATATTTTGTATCAATGTGCTTGCTTCTGTCATGGAATACTAGGTTCTTTGCCAATGCCAATGCCGATTTGTTATCAACATGGATTTCGGTTGGTTCTTCTTATGAAACTCCAAGCGTCTTCAACAAGTTTCTAAACCAAATCGCATGGCAGACACTTGATGTTGCTACAACATATTCAGCTTCACACGTAGATAGTGCTATGATCGATTGCTTTTTTGAGCTCCAAGTGAAAGTTGTGTCGCCCAAGTAAAACACATACCCAGTCGTACTTTTTCTATCATCACTATCTCCACCCCAATCGTTGTCACTATATCCAACAAGTTTGAATTCATTAGATGATGAATAGACTAAGCCATAATCAATCGTACCTTTGATGTAGCGAAGAATTCTCTTTGCAGTTTTCATATAGATCATGGTAGGTGTCCCCATATAGTGACTGATGAGCCTAACTCCAAAAAGGATATCTGGTCTTGTGCACGTCAAGTATCTTAGACTTCTAACAAGACTCTTAAAAAATGTTGGATTTACTTTTTCACCTTCATCATTCTTTGATAACTTGATTCCGCATTCGATGGAGGTGCATACGGGCTTACAGTCCTCCATATTGAATTTCTTTTGCATATCTTTCTTGTGAGATGAAAATGCAGTCCTCCATTTGGTTTACCTCTATCGCAAGATAGTAGGCCATGATGCCGATATCCATCATCTCGAATTCTTGAGCCATGACCTTCTTAAACTCAATGATCATACTTTGATTATTTCCTATGAATATAAGATCATCTACATACAAACAAATAAGCAAAATATTTCATTTCTCATTTACCTTTGTATAAAGGGCATACTTGTGAGAGCATTTTGTGAAGTTATTTTCTAGAAAATACTTGTCAATTCTACTATTCCACGCCCTTGGAGCTTGTTTCAACCCATATAAAGTTTTTTTTAGTTTCAAGACTTTACCTTCACGTCCGTTTACTTTATAGCCCATTGGTTGCTCCACATAGATTTCTTCTTCGAGATAACCATTTAGAAAAGCTGATTTCCCGTCCATTTGAAATATCTTCCACTTATTTTGCGCTGTAAGAGAGATAATTAATCTTATGATTTCTAAACGAGCAACAGGAACAAATGCCTCTTCATAATCAATTCCGACCGTTGGTTGTAACCTTTGGCAACCAATCTTGCTTTGTATCTTTCTACGTCTCCTTTAGTGTTCTTCTTTGCCTTATACACCCACTTAACTTCGATTGCTCTCTTTCCTTTGGGAAGAGTTGTCAGCTCCCACGTATCATTTTTCTCTATAGTCTTAATCTCTTCATCCATAGCATCTCTCCATCTTTTATTTTGCGTCGCTTCTTCATACCCTATTAGTTTACAATCCGCAAAAAGACAAAAAAGTGTGAGATCATTTTGATTTTCTGTTACCTCATATAGCTCTTGTAGGCTCCTCATCCGTGGTATCCTTTCGCTTGAACTTTCTCCTTGTGAAGATAATGGAGAAGCATCTCTATGAGTAGGTGATAGAGGTGGACTGATAATCTCTTGCTGCTCTTCATTCTCTTGTTCTTCTTCATCAAAGAATGGTAAGAAGTCATAGTCTTCTTCTTCGATACCCCAATCCTAAGTCCTTCTTCATCAAACTCGACATCTCTACTCATGGTGATCTTCTCATTGCTTGGATTATACAACTTATAGCCTTTAGAGCGAGAGTCATAGCCGATGAAGACATACCTTTCACTTTTATCATCTAACTTGGACCGTTTTTGATCTGGTACATGAGCATATGCAATGCTCCCAAATAGTCGTAAGTGAGAGATGTTGGGCTTTCTTCCACTCCATGCTTCTTGTGGTATCTTATTCCACACACTTCTAGAAGATGATCGGTTAGACAGATACACGCCGCAATTAACAGCTTCAGCCCAAAGTTCTTTGGGCAATCTCTTACTTTTGAGCATGCAACGGGCCATGTTGAGAATCGATCTGTTCTTTCTTTCGGCTACTCCATTTTGTTGTGGAGAGTATGGAACTGTCAATGGGCGATGAATTTCATTCTCCTCACAATATTTCTCAAACTTTTTGGAGGTGAACTCTCCTCCTCTATCAGCTCTCAAGGCTTTTATACTATATCCGCTTTCTTTTTCAATAAGAGCTTTAAAATTCTTAAAAGTTTCAAAAACTTCCAATTTTTGTTTGAGAAAATAGATCCAAGTCTTTCTACTAAAATCATCAATAAAAAAAACAAAATAATTACTCTTATCGAGAGAGTTTGGATTAATTGGCCCACAAATATCGGAGTGTACAAGTTCTAGCGAGTTCTTAGCTTTTATAGATGCTTCTTTTGGAAAACTTTTTCTCGAATGCTTTCCAAGTAAGCATCCTTCACAAAAATGATCTGCATGATTTATTGGAGGCAAACCTTTCACCATTTTCTTCTTATTCAACAACTTTAAACCTCCAAAATTAAGATGCCCAAATCTCAAGTGTCAAAGTCAAGATGAATCTTTAAAACAAACTTTTAAGAATTTAGTGACATCATTTTGAATGATTAACGCAAACATTCTATTGCTTGTCATAGGGACTTTGGCAATCAAATTTTCTCTTTGATCTCTTATTGAAAGACTATGATCTTTAAAATGAATATCATAGCCCTTCTCTAAGAGTTGTCCCAAACTTAAAATGTTATTCTTCATATTGGGCACATAATATACATTTGAGATAAATTGATGCGTATCATTTTTCAAGCAGATCAAGATTTTACCTTTTCCTTTCACTGGGATCTTGGACTCATCTCCAAAGGTAATGTTGTCGCTTATTGATTCATCAAGCTCCATAAACATGTTTTTTCTTCCACACATATGGTTGCTTGCTCCTGTATCCAAATACCAAGTATTCTTTTCTCTGCTTTCTTCACCTTTGTAAACCAACAGTAGTGCAGGATCTACTTCACTTTTCCGACAAGTGTAGTTAGCTTTCTCCTCAACTTGGTTAGTAATATTTCTACATTCTGAAGTATAATGACCAAGTTTTTTACAATTGTAACATTTAATTTGAGATTTGTCATACCTTGATCCTTCATTTTGCCTCGTACCTTTTCCTCTTCCGGGACCTCTGGTAGAAAATGAGCTTTGTCTTCTTTCCTACTTGTAGAATGCAATTCTTCCTCGATCTTGGTCTCGTCCTCTTCCTCTTTGGCTTTTTCTATTATTAAACCTTCCTTCACTCTCGTTCAAAGTGAACGTTGTTTGAAGAGCTTGCTCTAATGGCTTTTCTTTCACCTTCTTCGTTAGTCTTTTCTCATGAGCTTGTAAAGATCCCATGAGTTGATCGACACTCATACTATCTAGATCTTTAGATTCCTCAATGACTACAACTATATAGTCAAATTTAGAATCTAAAGACCTAAGTATCTTCTCAATTACTCGAGTGTCATTCAACTTTTCTCCATTCCTTTTTTAATTGATTCACAATAGCTAATACTCTAGAGAAGTAATCAAAAATTGATTCCGATTCTTTCATATGTAAAGCTTCAAACTTACCTCGAAGTGTTTGAAGTCGAACCTTTTTCACCTTCTCAACTCCTTCGTGGGATTTTCAAGATCTCCCATGCTTCTTTACTCGTAGTAGCACAAGCTACTTTCTTGAACATGCCTTCATCTAAGGCTTGATAGATGAGGGTGAGCGCCTTCTTGTCCTTCTTCCTTACATCCTTCAAACTATCCATTTGTGCTTGGGATAGAGCAACCTCATCTTGTGGCTCCGTGTAGCCTTTCTCTACGATCTCCCATGCATCTTGCGACCCGAGCAATGCTTTCATCCTTATGCTCCAATTGTCGTAGTTATCTTTGTTGAGTTGGAGGACTTGAAAAGGAATCATTCCATTTGTCATTTTTCACAAGAACCTTAGAGCTCTGATACCAGTTTGTTGGAGGAAAGATGGGTTTACTAACTTAGATTGGCTAAGGCTTGATAGAGGACAACACTAATAGGAAGAATGAAGTGAAAAAAGGAAACTTGTATTTCTTAAATTCAACACTTTACACACTTTTTGGCTTGTTACAAAATGGAAGGCACTACCTCTTTATATAGTGTTTACAAGAAGATTCTAGTCCACACATTTTCTAGAGACACTTAGATCACATATCAAGATATTTTTCTAGAATTCTCTAAATATTCTTTACATATCTTACTTAGATATTTATATAAATTTTTCTAGATAATGCTTCTAGAAATACTAGGCATGTTGGGCCTTTTAATTGATTTGGGCATATAAACAAAATCATTAAACCCATATTATTTAGTCCAAAAATCAAGTTTACTACTCAACATTATCTACTTCAAAGGGAAGCTTTCTTTAAACACTGTGAAGCATTTGGGAAAACTCTATTGGTAAATAGGTAGTAAATGCGACCTTCTTAATTACTAGGAAAAAAAAGAGTTTAAAAAGTAGGAAAATGATGCATAGCTCTATAAGAATAACAAGAAGAAAATTACATTAAGAAATAACATGGAGAAAGATTTATATATTCGAAACATATATAGAATGCATTTATTGTGTATATCCTTGTCTGAAAGTATGTATGATGGGGTCATGGAAGATCACCATGCTTCACTAGACAAGAGAGGGGCGCTCATCCTTAAGTCCAGTAGAGTCGTAGACCCTTTTTGGTTTTTTTATAAATTAGATTTTTAGTAAATTTTGATAAAGGTTAATCAAATGTATGGTTAAAAAATTGATAAAAGTCGTGAATTTTGTGAAATGAACCACATGAGTGCATAGTCTTAGAGATGATCAACTTGTTATGTGAGAGAGCAAGACGGAACTCCTTTTCTAGTTAGCCTTGTAGAGTTTTAGATGGTTATCTTAACATCTGTTAGATTGTCATCTTGTCGGTCACTCGGTCATGCATCTACTAGATATGTAAGATAGAAACCTTTATCGAGCGCATATATTATGAACTTCTAATTGAATCCTCCTAGTCTTTCATAAGATAATTTGTTGTTAAGGCTCTATGTTATTGAAATTGTTCATTTTCATTTATATAGCGATATCTCTTCATATTTCGTTTTTTAAAAAATAATAATAATAATAAATTATCGTTTTGTTATTACATCTTGAAGTAAGCAAACAGAAGCGTCAATAGAAAGTGAGGGTGACGGAAAAGTTTCACGGGATTTAACTGATAAGAGAGCGCCAGAGGACACTTCAAAGAGAGAAAACTACGAGGCAAATACACTGTCACAATGCAGAAAGTCGAAGGCCAGTGGTGACACATCAATGGTGGATGGATCATTTGGTCCGATACATAATACAGTTGAGACTAGCAAGCACAGTTCAGATCAGGTCAAACCAATTGAGACAGAGGAAAGATATTATGATTTTTATCAGCTACGACGAAGGAAGCATATGAAATATGATCGTAAGACTTCCTCTGCAGATTCTGCATGTAAGTATTATGCCCTAGGTCCAATCAACTTTGGACATAAATACTTTTATATGTAATTAATGCAATTAAATGGCAGATCTATTATTTAATTAATAGACAATTAAATAAATAATAGAGTCCGTAGATTCAAATATTTGTAATTTGTTAATCACAATGAGTTGTGATTGTGAGATACAAATTACATCTGATTGAATCTTAAATCATCCGTGGTCGTAAGTAATAACGAGATACGGATATCGTTATTACGGATAGACTATCACGTGTGGCATTTCTTACTTGTGAAGTAAGTAGCTGATCTCATAAGTTAAAATGTGGTGATACTTAAATGAACACGTGGATGTTTTGTTATAGAACAAAACATTGGAGACCCGTCGAGAGATTCCACATGGATAACTATCTGAGTGTCGGTGGTTAATCTCTAACGTTCGGTAGTGAAATTGGTCCTTTGACTTGAGGTCGTCATGGTACCTTATATGAGGATAGTCATACTTTGGCGGTGTTGGATGTTGCTCTGAAAAGGGCCGCTAATACGACATCGTTCGGGTACATCAAGAATCGTATGAAGGTTGTGATTGATCAATAAAGGATTCGTCACTCTTAGATAGTAGGAGATTATGATCTGCGTTTCATTCAATTAAGTCAATAATGAAATCCTTGGCCCAGGTGTACTCATAAGTCGAAAAGGAGTTTTCGACTTATAGTGACTTAATAGTGGAGTGAAAGATATGATCAATGATCGAGATTAACACAATTCCATATCTCGTAATTGATCGGATCATATTGACGAAGGGATTATAGTTTCACGGTAAACGAACGAATTTGATTTTGTCATACCACGTGACATTTCCCGTCACATGTATTGCCCTAACACATTGCTAGATGTCAATTAGGGACGGCGAGTGTGAATTGACGATAAATTAAAATGGTGTTTTATTTATCAATTTTGATTAGATCAAAATAATATTTCACGTCGTTAGGCATCGTGGCCGGGAACCTAATGAGTTGCACACAAAAGAGAATTGGAAGATTGCGAATTGCCAATTGGTTAATTTAACAATCGTTGGATAAATTAATTAATTGGATTTGTTATTTATATTCCCGAATTAATTAATTGGATTAATTAATTCACGGACCGGGTTTAATTAATTGGATTAATTAATTATTGGACCGGACCTGGCCGAGCCTGTTTGGGTTTATATAAATACATAACTAGGGTTTGAGGTCCATAAGGTTTTTCATTATTCTTGCTGGCACAAGAGAAAATCCTAGAAGCTGCAATCTTATTCTCTGTGTGGATCACCGTTGGAGGCTAGACAATTGGACAGCTGTGGTGGCGAATCAAGGTTGATGGAACGAAAAGAAAAGCAAAAAGATTGCAGATCTGGAAAATGTACAATATTGTCACAATTTCTATCTAAATACAAAGGCGATTTTTGGTGGGAATCGAAAATTATTTTAAATTTCGCTGTGCATGTATAAGTAGATTCCCAACAGTAGTATCAGAGCATACTTTGTGTTTGTTAGAAATTGTTTAATATATTTGTGCAGTCAATAGTTGATTGTTATATTTTTCTTGTTTCTAGCGATTAATGAAAATTCGATTTTCATATTTTTGAAATCTGATTTCGCAAAAAAAAAAAAAAATGGTTGTATTTTAGGGTTTCAGTTGTGGAGTGAAAACGGGGGCCTCTATGCAATTTTTGAAATTTCCGGGTGCCCCCTACAATTAAAGAATAAAGGGGTGATTTTGCAATTTTAAATAAAGGGCTGCTCTGCAATTTTGGGAATTTGGAGGGCCGACTGCAATTAAGGGAAATGGGTCGTTTTGCAATATTTTAAAAAGGGACTTGTTCTGCAATTTTAAATCTTGAAAGGGTCCGATGTTAATTTGAAATTTGGGTCAATTTGCAAGTTTTCAAAATGGTTTTGAATTTGAATTTTGAAATGGTTTTAAAATTAACTTTAATTGGGTTCGACCCATAATTTAATTTTGACCCAAATTAAAATTTTATTTAAAATTTGCGACATTTTATATTTTCGTTAAAATTGGATTTTGATTTAAATATTAAACTTTGACCCAATTGAATTTTATTTTATTTAGGAGTGTTATCCTAATTTAAAATATTGATTCAATCTAAATT